GAGGAATCAGGATTCTCTCAGAAGGGCTTGTTTTGTTTTGAGGTAGAATGGGGGAGAATCACACCCCAGTGTGCTGGTGGCCTTACAGGCAAAGCAGTCCTTTCCTGCATAAATGAGGGATTCCTGGAAGGGCAGGTCTGTGGTTCTCCACATGCAGACACCAAGCCAAGTGCAGACAATGGGTGGGGACCACCTGGAGTCTGGTGATGCTGGAACCGAGGCAGCAAGAATGGCCTATTCTTGACACCTACAGTCAACACTGGTTCCTCCCCTGCTTCCAATTTTCACCTGGGACATATCTGTGCTTTCCTCAGTCGCATTATAAATACCATCTCTTTCCATCTTCTCTGAGGGTCCTTTCTTGACTTATGCAGGCCAACTTGATTTCTCCTTCGGCACATGCCCGTGGCACCTCCCTCTCTCACTCGATAGTGCGTTATTTATCAGTTTCATGTCTGTCTCCCCATTGAGACTCTGGGCTTCTGGGGGAGGATTGATTTGTCTGCATAGCTGAGGGGCTATCCAGTGTCTGTCACATGGAAGGTCCCTGCAGAATGCTTAGTGAGACAGCTAGCTGATAAATGGAAGGGTTAGCTCTTTCAGTGGCTTACAGGCCTCTGGGTGGGCTGACTCTGGCTACCTTGGGATCCCCTCAACTCAAATGTCACCTGCTCAGAAAGACCTTCCTTGATGATCCTAACAAGGCACCCCCTGCCCATCTTAGTCATCTGCTGTAGCAGAGCCTCCTTGCCTGTGTACCTCAGTACATTGGTGTGTTGCTAGCGGTTGAAAAGCAGGCTCAGCTCTAGGGAAGATCTGAGGTGGCTGAAGTCCAGGGCTGGTTGCCTTTGCTACTCACAGCCTCACACCTCTGCTCAGTGATGCCATCCAGCTTTATACATATTATAAAGTGAACACATTTGGGAATTACTGCTGGCAGCGCCCTGCATGTTTTTTTCAGAGTATTTATGACTATCTGAAATTAACAACTTTGTTTACTTGCTCATTTCACCTCCCTTCACTGCAGTGTAATAGGCTTTAATCTGTATTTGCTCATCCTTGTACATCCTGCAATGTTTAAAACAGCACCTGCCACAAAATAGGTGCTCACTATTTATTTGTTTAAAGAATGAGCCCTCTTTATTGTCTGGAAGGCAGTGACAAAGATAGGAAACTGGGTTAGGATTTGAGGTGAAATAGCTGTTGACATGGTACCTTAAACCTTAATTATTTCGGAGATTGAAGCTGCTACCATAAGCCCAGAAATAGAATAAATGCAATTATGTAACATTATTCACCAAAAGAACAAACTCACAGCAAAATCAGCAGATTTGAACATAAGCTAAATAGGAGGCTGTAGAGGTTTCTGCCAAAATCAGTATTTGTAAATTCACAATATTTATTTAATATTTAATACTAAAACCAAACTGCAGAAAATTTACTGAGATAATAACTTTCATTTTTTGGGGAATATAGTAAAATCAAGCTGTAAATAAGCTTCTCTTTTTATTGGAAGTTTCTGCTTCCCATCAATTTCAACTCTAAGTCAGTAAACAGGTGAATGAAGGTCAAACCTTAAAGCATGAATGAGTAAAATTATGGCTTTAAGTTTGACAGCTAACTACTGATTTTTTTCTTCCCCCCAAAAAAAGCACAGAGCTGCATAGGTAGTTACCATTCCACATAAAAAGTAAAGCTGTGCTAATAATAACATAATAGGGTTTTGTGGATAAAATTTACCTTCAGTTTACTACAGAAGCTTTATCATCAATATGCACACAAAAAAATCTACCTTGGAGGAGGTTGCTTTTTCTCCCATCTACAAAATTTCCTGTGACCCACCCACCCCTTCCTTAACTCCTATAACATACACTTAGGCAGACAGCAGAGCTCTGTTTGATTTAAGGGGCAAACACAATCTCTCTGGCCAAATTGCTAAGAAATATTCTTATAGTGATTTCTGCCCTATGACTTCAGAAAGAATCATTAACTGGGAAAGCTGGGTGGCCAAAGATCCTGTTTAAGGTACTGATCAAGTTTCAAGTCTACTTGTACATCCATGGGGAGCGTGCAAGGGGAATACATTCTACTCTTATCACTGTTCTTCTCATTTTCCAATATTGATTTCTTGGCAACAGGTTTCTGTATTCTGGAGGCATTACCAGCTAAGAAGGGACATAAGCAAATAACAACTTAAGCTGTGTCTGTATGAGGTCTCTACAGTTGGATTCAAAGTGAAACATTTAGTAAATAAGCCTTCATCTTTAGACGGGGGAACCAAACAACTCATCCAATAGACTTTGATCCACTGAAGAACTTAAAATTTTGCCAGAATTGACTGGTCGGTTTAAGACAGAGCAGATTTGCCTACACAGTGAATCAGAAGGAAAAGAAATTGAGCAATTACATTCACTTGTAGGAAGCTTCGCTTGAGTTTTGTTTTGATGGGAAGTAAAACACCTTTCAGGCTCTGATACCGCTAATGCCATAGGCTAGTTTGGGCGATAGCTGGTTTGATTTTTTTTTCGTGATCCACAGTGAGGCCATCCTTTGCCCTGACCTCCCCGTTGGGCAGCCAGTCCTCTTGCTGTCCTGCTGATAAGCTACCCCCACTTCTGCCACTGTGCCTTTGCCTGCCCAGAGCTTGCCTCCCTTTGTACTGTGTGCGGCCAGATTATGGGGGCCTTGTGAACGTTAAACGGAATCATCAGTCTTTCGGTTAGATGAGAGGTCACCTTTGTTTAAGATGGGCATCTTTTACAGAATTTTCTATTACTTACTGCACAAGTTATTTTCATTAGAGGACCAGGTGTAGGGAAAATGGAAATTCCATGGCCAGGATCCTCACCTGACACCAGTGATGAGATAATACTTAGCCTACCTCTAGGTATATGTTTGCATACCTGTTGGCAATAAGCCATTACTGCCAGTATTGCTATATAAAGAGCTCCGCCCAGTGCTAGAGTGGAGCTGAATGGAGGAGAGGAGAGCAGAGCAGAGGCAGGGAGACCAAGAGATCCTAGAGAAGTGAGCAAGAGACTGGGCAGCAAGAGAGCAGAAGCTGGGAGCAGGGGCAGAGGCTGAGCCGGGCTTGCTACTATAGACTGTGAGGTGCAGACGGGGTTCTAACACTTGACCAACCACCCTGCGAATAAAGCTTGGTATGAACCCCTCTTTACCCACAACATTCCATTGTCTTTTTTTGTTTTCACCAAATACAGAGTGAACTTGCCTGGGGGCTGAAGCCCTCAGGGGAGATACCAGGTTTCTCAAATTTACTTGAAGGTTCCAGGGGACTGGATGGGATGGGAGTGGGGACTCAAGATCCTATTTTAAACCGGTATCCTATAGGGTTCCTTTGCCAGGCAAATCTGTCAGAGGGACCTTTGGTGGGTGTTGGATGGTGGGGAGGAAAGCACAGTGGCCAGTGAAGTGCTTTGAGGTCTAGCTGGTAAAACTGCTCAAGGCTGTTCTGGGTAGTGGCCCCGGATCTCCTGTGCTGGGTCTTCCAAACCCACATTGAGGACTCAGGTCAGTCCTAAGTCCAGAAGCACAAAGTTTAAACATTTTTTTATTGAAATATAGTTGATATACAGTGTTATATTGGTTTCAGGTGTGCAACATAGTGATTCCACAATTACATACCTTATGAAATGCTCACCATGCTAAGTGTAGCTACATCTGTCACCAAAGTTGTTAGGATATTACTGACTATATTCCCTAGGCTGTACTTTTCATCCCATGACTTATTTATTTTATAATGGGAATTTTGTACTACCTTGTGATCCCCTTCACCTATTTCATTGATCTCCCCAACCCTACCCTGTATGACAACCACCAATTTTTCTCTGTGCTTATGAGTCTATTTCTGTTTGTCCATTTGTTTTGTTTTTTAGATTCCACATATAAGTGAAATCATAAGATATGTCTTTCTCTGTCTTATTTTACTTCACATAACACCCTATAGGGCCATCCCTGTTGTCCCAAACAGCAAGATTTCATTCTTTTTTTATGAACAAGTAACATTCCATTGTGTATATGTACCACATCTTTTCATCCATTCATCTATTGATGGACACTTAGGTTGCTTCCATGTCTTGGCTATTGTAAGTAATGCTGCAATAAACACAGGAGGGCATATATCTTTTTGAATTAGTGATTTGATTTTGTTCATGTAAATTCCGAGAAGCATAACAATTTTTATACTGGAAGCCATCTTGGAGCTAATGTTCTGCCTTCAATTCACAGGGAATAAACTGAAGCTTCAGTAGGCACTTTACTTACCATATAAAGCATCAGAGGAGGAGCCCAGATCACCAGCTCAGGGCCAGCTTCATGGGCTTGTGTAGTCACGTGAGGCCCTCTCTAACGGGTTCTGCATGTGGGGTTCAGTGCTCTACTGGCACCATTTTGAAATTCTTAATAGCTTTATCTGAATAACTTCATAACTGAATATATGCTTTGTAAGCAACACCTGACAGGCTGATGGAGCAAGGGAATGTCCAGAGAAGAGATGTACACCATGCATGTCCATTGTTCTATGCCACACTATTTGCATGTCATGTTAGCATGAGTACAGCATGCTGGTGGACACACAATGCACAGGAGTCTCCAAATGAGTACACAAGTAGGTATTCAGGTCATGGACAGGGCCCTGAGAGCCCCAAAGCCATGCTCTCCATTTGAACCATAATTTGTCCCCAACATAGAAAAGAATTAGCATTTAAGTACTCATACAAGGTAGAGATTCTACCATGTTCTGCCTTACTTGTGTTACTTCCCTAGGGTGGCCGACCATTTGCACTGACAATAATGACAGAAGAGAAAGCAAAGAGAGGTGATGCATAGCACCCCTTCCTCTCAGTTTTCTCCCTTATCAGAAAGCTGAAGGTGGGGTGTGTTGGTAGAAAGTACATACCAAGAGGTGAAAAAAAAAAAGACAGCTGAATAGTTTTGTGCATCATTTCTGCAATTTGGGTAAGACAAAATACACAGGCATCCATGAGCTATGAAGTAGGAATTGCATCATTTCTGTGATTCTGCATTAGTTAAATGCTGTCATGTTTGCCTTTGAAATGGGCGTTCTAAAAATAAGCAGTACAAAGGTGAACAGTGAAATTTGTCCTATTGATTTAGGATCTTAATTTTGCTTGACTTGGAAACATTAAATTGCAAATGAAAAGCACTATGACAAGTTGAGAGGGACCATGGAAGGAGGGATTAAGCTTTCTATTTTAGCAACTTCAACTATTTTTTCTTGAACAAGGAGCCTGCATTTTTATTTTGCACCGGTCCTGCGAATTCATAGCTGGCCCTGACCTGACTCCCACTCCCATGGGGAGTCAGGAATTACAAGCTTCCAATGCAGTGCCCACTGGTTCCCTGGCAGGAGCACAGTGAAGGGCAGTGGGATGAAAAGGCAGGAAGACAGAGGCACCAGTCCCTCCTATGATGCCACTCTGGCTTCTACAAGAAGAATCTGTGCAGCAGCTTCACACTGGTCTCCATGGAAACTGGTCCTGTATTAGAAATGAAAAGTTACAACGTCTTTCCGCTGGCTCTCCCTCCAGGCAGGAATCTCTTTTGGCTAAAATATGGTAATAAATACTGGCTCCTGCCTGACCTAAGGTGACAGAGTTCTGTCCTTTTGAGCACAGGTTTCCATGAAGCAATTACCTTTCGTTATCGCTCTTTCAGTCCAGTGAACAAGATAAAAGTGGAACCTCTGCCTTGTACTCCTGAGTGGGAGCTCAGGGCCCCTGTCTGCTGGCTCTCTGTTAGGCTGTAGTTCTAGATTCTCTTAGGACTGAAAGCCGACATCTTGGGGAAGGTTTGTGTGTAGTTTGGTTTGAGGCAAACTTGGAAGACTGAACTCTCTCCTGACATTGAGTTTACTGTAGGGAGAAGATAGTGGGGCAACATGCCCAGCCCACTGGAGCTTCAATGTCTTCTATGGCCAAGGAAGAAGGCTGCCAGGGCATAGAGCAGCCCATTCTGCTTGGCTTCTCCGTGCCAGCCCTGGGACCCCTTTGTTTACCTTGCTGGCTGAGACTGGGAAGCTGGGCAGGTAGTCCTGAGAAAACACAAGTGAGGGCATTGAGTTATGACCCTCCCTGATCCAAAGAAACCCTCACAGAGCCTGTCCTCAGGAATTCAGTCATGTCAGCTTCCCACTCAAGAACGGTGATCACTCTGGCGTGGATGGAGGGTTCTCCTAGTTCATCAGACCACAGAACCCTGCCCAACATTCAGGCAGGCCCTTGTTCTCTTTTTTCAGGGTGGAAATTCTTAAATGGAAGAAATATCAGGTGGAGCTTCATATGCACTTTGCTCTGGGCCCACAGCTTAAGCAGTGCCATACAACAAAGCAAAAACAAAACAATTAAATGCCCCTGCCCCCCAGTCCTCTACAAAAACACACAGGCCACTGCTCTGCCTGCTGCCTCCAGGAGCTCTAGCCCACAAACACCTGTGTGGCTTCCTTGATGGGAAAGAAGCAAGCCCACTAATCTTGCATTTCTCTGGAGAGGAGATAAGTGTCTTAATTAGGAAGCCTCCGAAAATAGTTGATTGAGGCATTATTTGACCTGATTTGGGTATCATTACAGCCTAAAGCCTGAACACGTTAAACAGCCATGAATTAGAATAACAGGGCAGGCTAAGCAGAAAGAAAAGCAAAAAGTCTAATGGGGAAGAAAATCCTTTATGAGTTTTCCATTGAAATAACCAGTAAATGGCTTGTTAGAAAAAGGACAAGGGAAAATATCTATTTATATAGTCACTCTCCTCTATCCTTTGTGTCCGGCTTGCTGCTTCACCATTGGAGAATTAGTGCAAATAACAATGATGTTGGTAGATAATAACTTTCAATGTGAAGGGATTGACTGGAAGTGTAGTGTGCTTGAAATCAGGCTGATTTCTTCACAGGAAACCTTACATTACACTTCAATTCCTTGCTAAAAAATTACTCCCCTGTGTAGACTTCTAGGCTTTCTGGTCTCTCACCATGCACACATACCTCCCATATGGTAACGGCTTTAAAAAAACCTTTTAAAGTTATTTTTACCTTTGGTTGTTGTGCCTCTTAATATAGTGCTAAAGTGCAGTAGAAAAGACACAGGGACATGGCATCAAGCAGGCTGTAAGAAAGTCCAGCTTTCTTGACTATTAACTATGTGATCTTGGGCAAGCTGTAACTCTTAGTTTCTCCAGCTGAGATGATGGTAGTACATAGAACTGTTGTTAGAAGATTTAAATGAAGTAATACATGTGACATGCGGAATGTGCATTATTCAACAATAAGTTTCCATGCTCATTATTCAAGCAAGCGTCAGTCACCTGAGCTCTTAGAATCCTAGAACTTGTGACTATGGTGCCTTACATGGCAGCAGAGATCTTGCAGGTGAGGACTTGAGTTGGGACGTTTCCCTGGATTGTTAGGTTGTACCCAATGGAATCTTATGTGTCCTTCACAGTGAAAAGGAGAGCAGAGGAAGGGTGGAAGTGGAGAGGTGAGGCTCCACCTGCCCTGCCATCTCTGAGGGTGGTGGGAAGGTGCTGGCAGCTAAGGATTTCAGCCTGTAGAAGCCAGAAAAGGCAAGAACATGGATTGTTCCCACCCCCTTTCATTAAGGAAGACAGCACTGCCTACACCCTGATTGAAGCTCTCTGAGATCCATGTTGAAATTTTAACCTACACAACTGTAATAAGATAATTCATGTTGTCTTAAGGCACTAAGTTTTTGTTATAGCAGCAATAGGAAACTCATACCTCACTGTATTATTCTCCACCTGATAGCCAGAGGGAAGTTCTGAAAACCTTGGACAGATCATGTTAGTTTTCTGCTCAAATCCCTCCTGTGGGTCGGTCTCACTCTGAGCACTCAAGTCCAACAGTTGTTCCCAGCACCCTGCAGGATCTGGCCCTGCACCTCCCTGGTCCTCGCTCTAGAAATCCTCTCTTGATCTGTGGCTGTTCCTGAGGTATGGCAAGCCCTCTCCTCACCACAGGACCTTTGCCTTGACTCAGCTTCCTCTATCTGAAATCCCTGACCCTTTGAGTCATTGTGAGATGGTGGGGAAGCCATGGGCTTGGGCCAGCTTGCCTGGGTTCAAACCCCACCCGCACCTGATGTTTGCTTGAATAGATAGGCAGCATTGCAAGTCACTTAGCTCCTACCTGCTCTATAGTTTCTCCTCTGCAAAACAAGGCTAACCTTCTGTACCATATGGTATATGGGGTTTAAAGAGTCAGTCCCTGTAAAGAATTTAGGATTGTGCCTGCTTCCACCAGACTCCTTAAGAACTGTCTCAGTGCACCCATGTGGCTCAGTGCTTTTCCAGTCTTTGCTCAGTTTATCACTTCCTATTGTTCTCTGTCACTTTATGTCTTTCCTCCCTGTGCTCATCACCACCTGACCCGTTTTGTACTTACCTGCGAGTTTCTGTTGCTGCTGTACTGCTCTGTGCCCCACAGGAGGAGGGCCTCTCTCTTGTTCATGGCTGAATCCTCAGGCCCTGAAGCAGGGTGTGCTTCAGGAGGTTCCAATGTTTGTTTGAGAATGGATTTGCTCCTGCTAGGAATGCTGCGTGGACATATTCACATGAACCTGGGGCTGAACCAAGTGAGACTCTGAGGTTATTTTTGTCTCCAGAGTTGGAGACATTGCTCTCATGTTCACAGCACTAAGCAGCAGAACCCACATTTGCACCCAGTTCTTTATTCAGTGTCTCTGGCCAAATTTATCATAGGTACTTTCTCATGTCCTTTCCAACTGGTGACCTCCCCTCTGGGGCCCTCCAGTGGGGCTTCTTGGGTCTTCCATATTCCTACCTCTAGGAAACAGGGTATTTGTCTAAGTTCTTAGGTACCTGAGTGATACCATGTGATAATGTATATTCATGCCTTAATAAAACAGTTTATGTACACCAAGGGAGCATGAGGCCCTCAGATTACCTCAGGGATACAAAGTGCAGACCCTGAGGCAGTCAGGAGGGGTTGGCTCTATGGGAGACTCCTAAAAATCATGTCATAAAGAATTGGCATTTGTAGCTCTTACAGCTGGGCTGTACTTTGTCAATGGTCTGTAGAAACTGCTAAAAAATAGGATGTGGCCTGTTTGGAGATTTAAGTCCTACAGGGATATAGTGTATTGAAAATAGTCTTATTTGAAGACTTTTGTTCCTCGATATTGGTGGCATCTTATTGCCACACTCAGATTTTGCACACACAGAAATCCTGGGTTAAGTACTTTGAAAAGTCTCATTATTCAGGCCACTGATAGGTTTTTAAAAAATGAAATGAATAATGGTTTATTTGATTGAATTAAGGAAATCAACTGGTTGATTTATATGCCAATCATGGTTTGGGTTCAGATGATAAACACCACTTCAGGTTATTATTCTTATTTTTTATTGTGGAAAAATAGATGTAACATAAAACATGCCATTTTAACCATCTTTCAATGTATAGTTTAGTGGCATGTTCACACTGCTGTGCAGCTACTACCACCATCCACTTGCAGGTCTCATTCATTATATGAAAGAGAAGCTCTGGAACTGCCCACTGTAACTTACCATCCATGCTGACCTGAAGGCCTCATGCCTCCCTTGTAGGGTGGGTCCACAGGTAACTCCCTCAGCTTTTGCTCCACTGGGAAGGTCTTCATTCAGTTTAACAGATAGAGAATTCTTGTTTGACAGTTTTCTTCTTGCAACACTTAAGTATATCCACCCCCCTGCCTGCTTGACTTCTGCTGGGAAAACGCCTGCTAATCTTATTGAGAATCCTTGTACATGATGAGGTGCCCCAACCTCCACCATTGCCCTAATCCCAAACCCTTCCTTCTACTCTCCACATTCAAACCAAGTGCTTCTGATCCACCCCCTTATTTCTGGAATGTTTCCTTTTCTCGCTGTCCTCACTGCCCACAGACTCAGTTCATTGTCTTGTTCGGGGTACTATTTGCTTTCTTTGTGCTTTTGACTTCCTCTAACACATTCTCCGTGGCCCGTGAGTTGGACAGATCTGAAGCAGTTACGAACATAATGTTCACCTTTTCAAAGGTGCTCATTGGGTCCTCATTGCCTTTGCAAAGTCCAGACTCCTGGCTGTGACCTATTAGGTCTGTTAGCACAGGGGCCAGCCACCCCTCTTCCCTCTCTCTTTGCCCACTTTTCTCTGGTTGCTCAACTACTGACAGTTTCATGATAGTGTTGCGGTATCTTCTGTAACTGCTTGCCTGAAAAGGGCTCTTTAGACCTTTCCTAGGATAATTTCTATGCACCACTGAACACCTGGCCTAGGACATACTCCATTTGGAGGCCTTATCACACCATTTTTCTCTCCACCCCAGCTTAAATATTTCCATGCTCCCAGGGCATTTTGTTTGTAGTCCTACCATGATCTTTTGTTTATGAAAGTCTTTTCCCACTATACAGTAGGGAAAGGGCATTCTTATATAGTTTTATGTTTTTAATGCCCAGCAAAATGTGGCATTAAAATCCTTGCAGAATGAATATATAAATGAGTAACCACCATCCTTATTATAGGAAGGCATTTTTTAAAAATGATCAGGATTTCTCTTATCTCTCTTTAGAGAAAATGAAAAGTAAGTTGTAAAATTATTAATACCTTATAAATATCCAATAGATGAATACTTGGGTAGAGTTTGGCTAGTCTCAATAATATCTTTCAGGAGAAAGAAATGGAATTAAAGTACTAGAAGTAGATTCTTTGAGGACACTTTTTTATGTTGTAAAAATTCTATTCTTTGATTTCTATAAGCTAATAAAAACAAACTGTATTTTTCTCTTAGTCAATTAGATGCTTGTAGATCTGTGGCTCATTCACACAACTCATATTAAATGATCCTTTTAGTTCCTATCATTTCTCAAGCAACCACTTTTATAGTTTTGCATTTTCACGTTACCTCTGGAGCCCCTGTTATGCAGCGCAGACTCCAAAGCAGCAGGATAGCTTGCCTTTCCTGCAGGAGGCCTCACTGTTGATCCAGACCAGGGGAGCTCTGTGCACATGAATGCTACCACGCTGAATGCTGTTCTATTCACCTGCCTGTTGGCTGTTTCCCCAGGTCACCATGCACCATTGCTCTTCCTACTGACTGGGCAGTCTTTGATTTTGGTTGTTACGGCAGTTAATAATACAATCAAACTGGAGCATAGCCTGCACATTGCATTACCTCCTATAAAGGGTCAATTGAATCCATCAGGCTGACGAATGACCAAAGAAAAGAGTTCTGAACCAAATTAGGCCTCTTTTGAAAGAAAGAGAAAGCCATGCAGTGCCTCTACGAGGTGGCCAATCATTTCCACTGCTGTCATTTCTTTCAGAGAGGACAATAAAATCAGACCCTCGCAGAGGGGCACTGTTGAGATAAAGGGGAAAAGTTGCTTTCAGTTTCCATGCGACCAATGTATTCTTTGGAAGGTGTAGAAAACACTGGTCATTGCATTATTGGTCTTACACCCCTTTTCATTTTTCCCAGTGAGTTCCCTACACTGTAGCTAAGTGGGGCTATTCCTTTCCCAGTCATCTCCTGAGCATTCTCATTTCTGTGTTTTTAAACCCATATGGTTGCCTCTCCTTAGAAAATGTGCATTCATATTCTATTTCTCTGAGTCCTTCTGGCTCTAAAATAAAGTTTCCTTCATGGAGCTTCCCTGGTTTCCTATGAAGTGATCTCTTCCTACTTCTGTAAGCTTAGAGCACTTCCTTCAACCCTCTCCTGATTATCTACTTCCATGGAGATTATTTCCGTTTTGTACATCATGCCCCTCACATCCCCTGGCTGTGCCTCACACAGGGGCTGTGTCCAGCAGGTGCCATATTTGAGAGAATGCTTAAATATGCGTGGGTTCTGGTGCTGGGGAGGCCCCATGGGACACTCGGTGCAGCACAGATGGAGCAGGACACTCAGGCATGGAAGAAAAGGTGCTGAGTCAACAGCCACACTAGAAACTTTAGGGCTTTGGCACACTCCTGCCCTTTAGGAGGGAGAAGAAGATGTCAGAAGGAGAGCCATAGAGGTCCTGACGTCCGGCTCCATTCTACCCTGTTCTGGAATGCAGTTAATTGGGGAAGAGAAGAAATGAGACCCTGAGTCTCAAGAGAAAGCCAGCAGGATGGAGAGGTCTACATCTTTCATTGAACACTTCGATGAGAACAACCTTAGCTCTTTGTAAACAAAGCATTGAAGTTATCTGGGCATCCCCCAGAGAGTCAATGGTATTTGGAGAGGTGCTGGAGTCCAGCTCCAGCGGGGGGTTGTGAAACCCAAAAGGATGAAACGGAGTCGGTGCACGGAGAGACAGGACACAGAGTCAGATGGAGGTGGTCTCTCGACAAAGTGCAGATGACAGCTTTATTTATACCATTTTGCACAAGGATATGATTATTTTTTATTTGTTCTTTTGATTAACAAACACAGGCAAGCTTTTTTCTTTTTGTTTCCTTCTAATCTATACATGGTTAGTCAAGTGTTAGACAGGTGATCTTTTTCTGTTCCTTAACCGAAACTTTTCCTAGCAGCATGTACTCTATCGTGTCTCCCATTTCTATGTAAAGCAGTTTCTAAGTAATGCATGTGACCACAGCATGTAATAGTGACTATGGAGTGAATCAGCTCAGGGTGAAATACAGGTCACTCACTACTACAGTTAGCTAGGCAGGTATCATTATCTATATTTCTAATGCAATGGGTACATTTTATCTCCTCATAATATTTATTATATCGTAGGTAGATGCAAGATAAAGATAGAAAGCATTATTTAGTGCTGTAAGAAGGCAAGTGTAGATGATCAGGTCTGTGCCTATAGACTAGGTATTAATCCAAGTTAGACAAGGGCAACAAAACATCCATGGGTGTAGAAGATTTCTCTCAAAACTGGGGCGGGGGTGAGGTTCTAAGCCTTACCTCTGTTGGCCCCCATTTTCTCACCTGATGGCCCCCGTGCGACTGTGCCTGTCTTAGGTTGTTCCTCCCTTGAGGAATTTTACCCATCTCTGGCTAACCAGCCATCTTCCGGGGCCATACAGGGAGATGTAAAGCTGGTAAATGAGAGAGAAGTAATGTTCTTGGAAAATGTTAGCTTTTCACTTCTTTGCAGATTTATGCCCTGTGGCTTCTATGCCCAGCACTTATCTTGAGGTATTTTTTTATCACTTGGTAATTTCACGTATGAGGCACAAATTCTAGTAAACGGCTGTAATTAGGAAGGAAAAAGAAAAACTATAGAAGTAGCAGAGGAAAGAAAACATGAGAAGATTGATTAAGTGTCAGACAGGGTTATTCCATTCAGTAATCTCCCATAACTCTATTTCTCTAATTTTTCTATAAAACTCTTCATCACTAATCTCACTAGCATTGCAAACAAGGGGGGCATTCCCACTTAGGTGGAGATGGGGTAGTCAATGTTTGGCTAACTGACTCTAGGTTTTGGTATTCTATGCCAAGATCGCCATCTGGCTCCTGCGTGTTCTATTCTTCAGGAGCACTGTCCTGAAAAGTTTCTGGGAAGTTTATGTTCTCCTTCTTCCCGTGCTGCTTGTCAAAGGTTAGCTTAGTCTTTGGCAAAAATGCAAGCAAAAGCAAAGCCAATAGTATAATGGAGAAAAACAAAACCAAGGTAGGTAATAGGGGGAGCCAGCTGTGAAGGCCCCTGCTTTGTGGGGGTCTTCCTCCAGCCTGAGCTTTGCTACACAGCTTGAGTAGCATGGCTCCCACCAGTGAGGAGGGTTCAGGTAACATATTGCCAGCTGTATGCCCTCAGCTTTCCCCAGGGTGTGAAGGTCTGTGTAATATTTGCTGTGACTGATGGAAGTTTGATGTGCAAAGTCCACCTTCAGCTCTGGTTCCAACCTTGCACTCTGGGGTCTAGGGCAGTTTCTCTTGTCTCAAAAATCCTAAAGGAACTTATGTGTTTACCCAAGACAGGCTGCTCAGGCTAATTAAAATGTCAGGAGTTTTTTACTGTAGACTGGAATTAGATCCATCTAGATAGGGATAAGTTTATGGTAATTTTAAGTGGATTGGTAAACCATGAGCTAATTTAAAAAAGGAAATTTCTTTGCTAGATAAGCTCTTTTGAACATGGGGTTTTCCATACTATGGGGACAAAGACCTCAGAGTATTTTCTGCTTTTGTTCTGTGCAGAGATAAGGGAGCGCTAATTGCCCCGCCCTGAGGGAGTCTGTGTTCCGAGGTGGTGTTACTATGCAGACAGCCCTGAATTCTCTGTTCCTTTCCCACACTTCACTGTCTTCCATACGTTTCAATAACTGATTAGCATTACTTTCCTTTATTTCATTTCTTAAATTTTTTATTAAGGTCTCATTGATAGACACTCCTATGAAGGTTTCACAAGAAAAAACAATGTGGTTACTACATTTACCCATATTATCAAGTCCCCACCCATACCCCAATGCAGTCACTGTCCATCAGTGCAGCAAGATGCCAAAGATCTACCAGGTGCCTTCTCTGTGCTACACTGTTCTCCCCGTGATACCCCACACCATGTGTACTAAACATAATACCCCTCAATCCCCTTCTCTCCCACTCCCAACCTGCCCTCCTACACCTCTCCCCTTTGATAATCACTAGTTCATTCTTGGAGTCTCTGGGTCTGCTACTATTTTGTTCTTTCAGTTTTGCTTCATTGCTATACTCCACAAAGGAGGGAAATCATTTGGCATTTGTCTTTCTCTGCCTGGCTTATTTCACTGACCATAATGTCCTCCAGCTTCATCCATGTTGTTGTAAATAGTAGGATTTGTTTCTTTCTTATAGTCAAATAGTATTGCATTGTGTATATGTACCTCTTCTTTATCCATTCATCTACTGATGAACACTTAGGTTGCTTCCATATCTTGGCTATAGTAAAAAGTGCTGTGATAAACATAGGAGTGTCTTTTTGAATCTGAGAAATTAAATTATTTGGGTAAATTCCAAGGAGTGAGATTCCCGGGTCAAATGGTATTTCTATTTTTAGTTTTTTGTGCTTTCCACAATCGTTGAACTACCTTGCATTCCCACCAGCAGTGTAGGAAGGTTCCCCTTTCTCTGCATCCTCGCCAGCATTTGTTGTTCTTAGTCTTTTCGATGCTGGCTGTCTTTACTGGGGAGAGGTGATATCTCATTGTGGTTTTAATTTGCATTTCCCTGATGATTAGTGATGTGGAGCCTCTTTTCATGTGTCTGTTGGCCATCTGAATTTCTTCTTTGGAGAACTGTCTCTTCATATCCTCTGCCCATTTGTTAATTGGATTAGTTGCTTTTTGGGTGTTGAGGCATGTGAGTTCTTTATATATTTTGGATGTTAACCTCTTGTCGGATATGTCATTTACAAATACATTCTCCCATACTGTAGGTTGCCTTTTTGTTCTGTTGATGGTGTCCTTTGCCATACAGAACTTTTTAGTCTGATGTAGTCCCATGAGTTCATTTCTGCTTTTGTTTCCCTTGCTTGAGGAGATGTGTTCAGAAAGAAGCCGCTCATGCTAATATTCAGGAGATGTTTGCCTATGTTATCTTCTAAGAGTTTTATGGTTTCATGACTTACATTCAAGTCTTTAATTCATTTTGAGTTTGCTTTTGTGTATGTGGTTAAACAATAATCCAGTTTCATTCTCTTGCAGGTAGCTGTTCAGTTTTGCCAACACCAGCTGTTGAAGGGGCTGTCATTTCCCTATTGTATATCCATGGCTCCTTTATTGTATATTAATTGACCATACATGCTTGGGTTTATATCAGGGCTCTCTAGTTTGTTCCATTGGTCTATGGTTCTGTTCTTGTGCCAGTACCAAGTTGTCTTGATTACTGAGGCTTTGTAGTAGAGCTTAATGTTAGTAAGCATAATGCCCTCAGCTTCATTCTTCCTTCTCAGAATTGCTTTGGCTATTTGAGGTCTTTTGTTGTTCCATATGAATTTTAGAACAATTTTCTCTAGTTTGTTGAAAAATGCTGTTGGTATTTTGATAGGAATTGCATTGAATCTGTAGATTG